CTATTTGCCAGCTGAAACTGTGTATTGTAACACACACCCACAACCCAGGTAGCAGATACCTTTTGCTTTAGGTTCTAGGGGGTCGCAGGAGGATTTCAATAATTTAAATCTGGAGGCCTCCACCATATTTAAATTCTTCAACTCATGTAATTCCCGGCCCGAATGGAATAGTGTAAATCCGGAGGCCTCCCCCATGCAGTCTAGCAAAAACGCAGAGTTGCTGAGGAGGAAACGTTGATGTTGTCACTGCCGTGATACATGTCCGGGTACTGCAACAGCTTCCAACTTCATGAAGACTCTGGTGGTGGCTTCTGTTCCCTGAGCCCGCACACCGTGTCCAAGAGAGCGAAGGAAAGATTTGGTTGGACAGAATGCTTGGCCAGGCGTTGAGCTCCAAAGGTGAGCTTCATCGCTTGCGAGAGGCACGCAGGGGCCAATCCGGATCCAATCTTGTCAGCCCCATTGCTGAGAGCTATCGGCTCAGTGTCACCAGGCTGTCGCTTCCAAGCAGGCAGAGCAGCAGCGGCTCACACAGGCGCGGCCGCATAGGCCCAAATCGAAACGCGGTTATATAGCAGCAGAAGATGTAGGAGAAGCAGTGGGAGTGGGAGCAGTTCAGTAGGAGTAGTTGGAGGAGTAGCAGAGATTTTGCAGGCCGGAAGCAAAGTTTGAGTAGTAGGAGTGGTAGGAGTGGTGGTGGTGGTGGTGGCGGTGGCGGTGGCGGTGCTGGTGCTAGTAGTAGCAGTAGTAGTAGTAGTAGTAGTAGTAGTAGCAGTAGTAGTAGTAGTAGTAGCAGCAGCAGCAGTAGTGGTAGTAGTAGTAGTAGGAGGAGGAACATCAGCAGCAGCAGCAGCAGCAGCTGTTGAGTTTGGGTTTCCCGAAGTCATTGCGAGGAGCTGGCCAGCCAAAGGCGGGAGACGGCATTCCAGAGAATGCCCTTCCCTCAGCTTGGAGTGCTCTCCGTCGCGAGTCGCGACTGTCATGAGTGTCGGTAGTTCGGGCTCCGCCAAGGTCCATGCAAGGGCGGCTTGATGAGACTCAGAGGAACCCGCTCCGGAAGCATCATCTTAGCATTTTAGGCTCAACAAATCTCAACTAGATTGACGCCTACTGAAGGATTATGAGGGATCACCTCTCGGAGACGCAGCGCCAGATGGAGGGCACACGTGAAAACTTGGCCGATTCACCGCTCTGCGGTCTGATGTCTTCGCTGAAAGAGGCTTGGAGACTGCTACTTGCACAAGCACACACACACACACATGGACACGCACGGACACAGACACATATCTGGAAATAAGCTCCGCGCTCTTCGACAGCAGCTGCCACTGTAATATGTGTTCTCGCAAAAAGTGCTGCCTTCCCGAAAGAGGCGTGTCTTACACCTGTGACTCCTACAGAGTTTACTGTTAGAGTTTAGTCCTCGATTGAGACCGGCACCCGCGCCAGCTACCAGCCCCCTTTCCCATCCTTGTCTCCGTTACTTTAACCTACCTTTACCTTTCCTTACGAGCTAACGTGCTTTCTGACTCACTTACGCGCTGATTGACTACTACTGCACGTTTTGCATATTTACTTACACATCATGCACGCGCGGAGCAAACTATACACGGGGCCCTGCAGTATCGATGCTACATGTCATGATGCAGCGTCGTGCCAAGCTCGTGTTTGTGGGGGGTCGTTGTTCATTGTTACTTGATTTTCTAGTCGCACGAAGCTGAGGCAGGCTGTGCACGTTGCCCGCCGCGATATGCTGGGGGTTTTGTCGGTCGAAATAAAGTCTTGAAGACCTTTCCAATGCCCGGTGTAAATTTGCACTGGCAAGTCCAGCCGCTGGTGCGGTTCTGCTCGTGAATGCTCCATATGCTCCAATCTCATAAGCAAAACCCGGCGTGTTGCAAGCTTACGGAGCAGCCCTGCAGACTTGCCAGCTGGCACAAATTGTGCAAACGGAATCTGGTGGGTGTTTACAGTGGCTCGGATAGATCCTCTTGCTCGTCGGAGGCGAGGATGCAAGCAGAAGCCTTGTCTGCCAAGAGGTGCCAGGGCTGACTATTGTCGAGCTTTGCATGCCCTGACGCGCTTTGCACCAACTGCTGCATACGCCCGCCACAAAGGCTTGACATGGAGGCGCAAGCCAAAGAGCTTGAAAAGGAGGTGTCCGACCTACAAGGCTCTCGGTCCCGTGTGCGGCTTTTGTGCCCGTGTGCTCCATGTACAGGATCTCGGAAGCTGGATCCGTCAGCCGTGGAGCAAGAGCACCATGAGTCTTTGCAGAAGGACTTGTATGTGGAGTTGATGCTTCTGCGCTGGAAGAGAGCACATGTAAGAGAAAAGCCATGGACCTAGAAGGCATGCCGTCCTTTCGTCATATGCATGCCTGACGTTGACTGCCCAATCAAGCAACACTTACGCCACCCGGTAACTAATCGTTTCACCGTGGGTAGGAGGAAGACCGCTTGAATCATCATGTGACCCACACAGAAGGATGCAGAAGGCGAGCATGGGCAGACTTGAGCCGACGGCTTCCTCCAACTCCAGATCCGTGTCTGAGTGCAGCATTGCATAGTTGCTTCAAGACTGTCGCGGCCTACAGCTACAATGTTTGAACACGTGGAATCAGTCTTGCGAATATTCCTGCGCCAAAGAACAGGGGGGTTTGTAATGCTAATGCTCAGAAGCGCGCACCGTTGAGCGGAGCCATGGGCCTCTCCCACGTGCTGCTACTTTGCACCGTTGGCAGCTTTGCGAGTGAACGTCAAGAATCTCAGAGACTCTTGGCAGCAGTCACTGCTATCTAGCTGCGATTGGCTGCAGCACAGCTCAGCTGTAGCTCAGAGACTTTCGGAGCAATCTCGTGCAAGGACCAAAATTTCAGACCAAGCCAGCCAAGCCGGTGCTGCTGCTGCAACGTAGCGTCGAGCGGGGAGCGGTGGCGACTCTGTCCTCAGTGCTGCCATGGCTAGAAGAAGTTGGGATTTGCCTAGGCTTTGCTGTAAACTATACTGCCACCATTGAGCAGATGAGAAAGTACTGCAACTTGAGGCTAAGCGATGCATCGGCCAACGCAAGTCGCTTGGCATCCGAGTGACCGTCTCCTGCGCCACTCGCACAAGTTCCGTGGATTCGGCCTCCAAGGTAGTGCAAAAGAGGTCGTGCGCTCGCATCAGCAGAGCCTGGAAAAGGGCTCTGCGGCAAGACGGTCAAACTGCTCAGGCACTGAAGCACACTTGAAGCACGAAGCCCTGACTACAATCTGTATGTCGAATCTGGAACAAATATACCTTTCCTTGAGCAGGTTTGTCTCCGTGCCTCCCGTACGATCTGACAGAAGAGACGCCTCGCCACTCGGGAAGCAAAGTTCTGCTGAGGGGAGCTCCACGAAATACCACTGCCAGCAGGTAGTCAGAAGTCAGAACGTACATGTGCGGTTGGCTGCACGAGGCAACGGCCAGGAGCAACTGAGATGCAACATAGAAACATATGGTCCATGTGATTCTCCTTTCTGCATGCTGGAGTTCACGCCCACGGTGGCAGTCACTTGGGTGTGTGTGTGTGTCTGATGACAGACCAGTCGACATGAAACGAAATGTTTGACACTATTGCGAAACTATCAGTGGCAACGCTCAAAAACCTAACCCGCACCCTAACCCAGCGAACCTACTCCTTCACGGCTCACCTGACCCTGTGCCAGGTCATCCAAAAGCATTGGCCTTGCCATGAAGAGCAAGGCCGAAGTTTGCCCGACAAGAGATTAATAAACTGTTCTGAAGATGCCGCTCTGTGAGCTCACCTCTTGCGGGTTGTAGGAATGCTGAGAGGGATGAGCCGGACACGGTGTGGAGAAATTTGTGCCAGGATTCGCAGCCGGCAGGAGATCCTTTGACAGGGGATGACCTCCAGACATCCTATAGTGACGAGGACAGCCCAATATCAGAATGTGACGCTTTGTACTTGCGTGTCTGGCATCTGATCCTATCAGCGGTCAGTCCATTCAATCTTTGATTGCATCCATCAGGGTGCGTATTGGTCTCTGCCCGTTTGTCCAGGCGCAAGGTTCTGTCAGCGAAGCGGGACCGCTAAGTGGGCTTGAGATAGTGTGCGAGGGTAGGTGCAGGGAATGTGAAAGCGCGTTGAGGGGACACTCGTAAACCTAAATTTCAGCATGTGCGAGATGGACTGCATTGTGACTACTTTGACTACAACCCCCCTACAACACAGCAGCCCAACCACTCCCTGACACTGGGGCCCAATTTCACTCAACCGAGCCTCGAACCGCAGACATAGATAAGAAGAAGAAGAAGAAGCAGAGGAGGGGAGAGTGTTGTGTGTGTGTGTGTCTGCAACGTCACGTCCTCGTGCGAAAGCGGTGGGTTCTCAGGATGCACGGAAGTGGAGCAAAATGCTCCCCTGCGAGTTGCACTTGGCAGGCCCGACGATGAGTGACCATGTCAGGATCTACGTAGATGTTTTGACCCGCTAGTGCTGTGTCACGACTGGTCAGGAATGCTGGCAGAGCTCGTTTCTCAAAGTCTCAGCCAGCAAGATCGATTTGTTTGTTTCTAATCTGGCTGTCGATTGCAAGATTCCTTGTGATGGTCAGCAATCATGAATCTTAAGCATGAGCTCTGTACCACTTTCCGACACTTGTTCCCAACCATCACCATTACCAAGACGCACATGCTTCCTAGGCTGGTGTCAAACAGAATATGACCTGGCCTCTGCACTCGCAGGCACCACGATTCAGGCTTTGCTCGACCACTATGCAGCAGACTCTGCAGCTGACAACTCTGGAATGTCGCTGGGACTCTTGCCCGAATGGAACACCATTTTCAAGCGCAACTCTTTGTTGCCAGGGCTTTTCTTCTAGAAGTCATTGCGGGTGAGGGTGGGTCCTGGCATGCCTGCGTGCTTGCAAGCACCGCAGCGCCTACAGCACCAGCATGGGTGTGTAAGGCAACCAGTGGAGCGAAAAGGTCACAAAGGTCCGTGCTTCCATGAGGCATCTAGCAGCACTCAATTCAGCAGCCATGCCTGGATGAAGATAAACACGAACTTCCGCAGACCCTGGACCGAGCAGCAGAGCGCGATTATTCACGAGCCGCTTCCAAGATTTACAGCACCAGTGGGAGCACAGTTTTTTCGGAGCGCAAGACGATAAACGAGTAGCCAGGGATGGGAAGGCAGAATTTCGAGTCGAGCACCAACACATCAGAACGTGACGTGAATCGCGGCTCCCAACAAAATGTAGTCGCAGCGAGATTGCGGAAAGAATGTCATGTGTGCCCCGCCAAAAAGCGGGAGCCGGACCGGGACGGTCCCATGCAGTCCTACTCACAGAAACACCCTAAATTGGGGGGCTATGGGTGTCAGAAGAGAGGCGCCTGAGAGGCTAGCTAAGAGGAGGCTCCTGAGAGGGCCCATGGCAGAGGATGCATCTGATAGCGTCTCCGCTGCTTTTTGTCTATCAGAAATCCAGGAATTTAAAGGCTAAAGGGTTGACGTCCTGAAGCCGTGTTTATGCTTGGAGAATCTTGGAGACTGCAGAGGCAGAGGAGAGGGTTCGAGACTTGCAAGCCCGCAGACTTGCGAGAGGCTTTTAGAGGCCTTGGGACTTCAGAGGCTGAATCAGAGCTGAAGGCTTAGAGGCATCAAGGTCGACCCGAAGAGATCCCCGGAGTTGAAGAGCTGGGTAGCCTTTTCCAACGGTGCAATGTTGCCGCAGGCCATTCCCTTGGCTCTAATTCACTGTCTGCATTGCTGCTGCATTTCAGAGGCGAGCTCTCCAAGGCACGGCAAGGAATTCTGTGCAACCTATCTTCACGGCTTACTTATAGCCAAGAGCCGCCCCAGGCCTGCAAGGTGAAGGAAAGCCACATCCTAATGCCCTCGTGCTGCAACTGGGAACATCTGCAATTTGGATCCCCCAGTGCTGCAAACTACCCGCCAGCCTATTGCCCACGATCTGAGGAATTCCGTGTATGGCAGATTTTTGCGGCCTGCTTCTTCAGTTTCTTCGATGCTGAAATCGCGCAACAGACTCTCGCCCTCACAGTCGCAGCAGGACAGGCTGCGTCTTCGTGTGTCTGCTGTGGCTGACGTTCTGAGGTATTGAAACACTGGAGTCCACTGGCGCAAGCCTAGTCAGCAGCGCAGTGCCGTTTGAGGAACGTCTCGGAGAGGAGGCCGGTCTCGCGCCTTTGTCACTGATTTTGCAGATTTCATGTTCTCGGATTTGCTAGGTGGTGGTGCGCTTCTTCGTAGTGCCAGAAACAGACGGTGACGACTTTGCCACGGTGGTCAACTCACTGCGAGACTCGCGGCTGGGCCATGCATTGAACGACATTCTCGTCGTTGTGGCGGTCAGTAGCCGTTGTGCATTCTCTGGAATGCTGACTCCAACATTTCGTTGGTCAGCTCCCGGCAAGGATTCCAGGGAACCCAACTGCCGCTACTACTATTATTACTACTACTACTATTACTACTACTATTACTACTACTACTACTACTACTACTACTACTACTCCTACAACTGCTACTACTACT